CCAGAGCCTCGTTATCAATCCGCAGCCACATAAGCAGATGTTCACAAATTGCCCCATCCTCGCACTCAGATGTCCACAAAACTGTCCCATCTGAGTGATGACAGCAAAGATGTTCCCAAAATGCTCAATCTGCCGAGCAGCCGCGGCTTGTCCTCCCCGCACTATGGTGAGGTTGGGCTTTAGGAGAGAAGGAAAAGAGGAGAAGTGACCAAGGGAGGCCGATGAAGAAAAAGATTAGAAACTGAAGAGTGACGAGGATACCATCAAAGACAAGTTGAAGATTAATGAGTATCCGGCTAGGGTACCTCGGGATTGCCATTCCCATATACTCACAAGTCGTGAGCCCCTGAGGGCACATACGACCCTTACTACGCCACTGGTTGACGAAATTCAAAAATGAAAACTCCCTGTGATTACTCTGATTAATCTGTTAACTCCTTTCGTACTCTCGACACCCTGTATCTCAAAGAGGATGCATTTTAGGTCATACGTTGATAGGAACTTTTCACCTTAAAATGAGGTGAGAAATCCGTGTACGAAGTTTGTCGGTTTTTTGCTGACTCACCCTGTTTAGTTTGTAATAAAAATGGAAAATCAAAAATTATCAAAATCTTCACGTAGATCTAAGTCTCTACAAATTATATAGCATAAAATTTGTGCGGAACGATGAAAGACATACTACACAAAGGGTGCGAAAGCATTTCAGTAACAAACTTTGATTAAACCCACAGCGGCAGGTAAATTATAATTTCTTTAATTTCATTTTTGATGTCACGGAAATTTCCCGAAGCACGAAATTTATTAAAAAGTTAAGATTAACTTCTCTCGTATGAAGTTACATATAGTTCAGATAGTTAGTTATTATAGAATAATGAGGTAGCCGGGTCAAACCTAGGTGATGTTGTAGTGACTTTTCAATCACGTCTTTAATAGTCTTTATCAACTGTCTATTGTGCGTGAGATGATCCATAGATGTAGAGATATCTGATAAGAGTTCCTACCCCTACCGGATATTCTTGATTATAGTGTTTTTCCAAAATAGAAGCAATGAAATGAATGGTAAATAAATGATGTGGGGGGATACCAAACAGTCTGGCAATGTACTCCATAGAGGGGCAGCTGCAAAAGCAATTCCTCAAAGTATGGCAGGATACACCAGGAATGAAGTTCCACATAAAGGAATCTTCGAAGAGGCTCACAAAAGAGATTTTACCCCTCAACAGGCGAGACCTCAAAATGGTAGTGGGGCTCCTAACGGGGCACAACCACCTCAATGGGCACCTAGAGCTTATTGGGATCAAAGATGATCCCCTCTGCAGATGGTGCCTGGAAGATGACGAAACGTCATCGCATGTCCTCACTGAGTGCCCAGCACTGACACATCAAAGGTGGGCTGTCCTTGGCAACATAATTTTGAGGCCAGAGGACGTGGAAGAGATTCAGCTGAGGAAGCTGCTGAACTATTCCAAGGAAGTCGGCATACCCAGCTGAATGTCGGAACATGTGGGCGCACAATGGGCCCGAATAAGGAGGCCTACGTGTAGGGGTGTTCACAGTGCTTCGAAGAAGAAGATGGTATGAGGGACATAAATACATTAGATATTTACGTAACCAGTTAGAAAACGCGTCATTTTGTGTAACAATGGGATTTTGCGGGACGGTCGAATCGAGATCCTGCAAAACACATACACAATAAAATGCGTTTCCTAACTTGTTGCGTAAAATAGTTTCTCTGATTTTGATGAGAAAATTCGCATGATCAGAAATAATGGCCATTTCTACTTGAGTTCTACCGATTCAAGGGCTGATCCAGCAGCCATCACGTGAGGTGGGGGCCATAGGCTTCAAAATCACAGTATTTATAACGGATGTTGCGAAAAAGGGTGCTAGGTTGCTAGGATACGTCGAGGGATACGTAGACCAATGACAGTTGGGTTTGCTAGGGAGAAAATGTTTGTGAAGGAATCCGTATTCAAGGTAAAACAATGAAGTATTGAAAAAAATAGTTATTTATGATATAAGTGCTAAAAGTGACATTTTATTTTGTGAGAAGGGAAGTTTGGGACACGACGCCGAAGGCGGAGTGTTCCATCCCTTCGAACAAAAGAAAAAAACACTATTTTTTCTACTAACACCATTAAAAGTCCAAATTAACGCATAACTATTTTACATTACTTATTAATTGATTAAATAACAGCCTCGAGATTATCAGTTTTGAATCCAATTCAATCTAATCTATTCATGAAACAAGTTACTAAGGTAAACAAAAATTGAATTTGTTGATTTATCTTTCGACAACTAACGTCAATAAATCACGAATTAGTCTTTCTCGTTTCTTCGTTCCTCGATGGAAAGTGCCCAAGAAAATGAATATCTGCCGCCGCAAATTGAAGAGGCTGCCAATAAAGCTGTTATTGCCTAATAAGTCAAAGCGAGAGTACGAGTTTTCATACGAACGTTTCTTGAAATGGTGTGATCAGAAAAATGTCAGTGGAAAGGAGGCCAGTGAAAAAGTGCTTCTTGCATACTTTGAAGAAAAGTCCAAAATATGGAAATCGTCAACGCTTTGGTCGAATTACTCTATGTTAAAGTCGATGATGAACATAAATGATCATGACATAAGCAGATATCACAAGCTTGTGGCTTTTTTGAAGCGAAAGGGTGAAGGATATCGACCGAAAAAGTCAAAAGTATTGACAAGAGAACAAATCGACGAATTTCTCGCAGAAGCCCCAGATGAAATATATCTAATGCAGAAAGTTGCTGCGATTTTTGGTGTTTTTGGAGCCTGTGGTCGAGAAGAACTGTGCGATTTGACAATAAATAACATCGAGGATTCCGGAACTTCACTAGTTGTGCATATACCAGACACAAAAACTAATGTGCAACGCACCTTTGTAGTAAGTGGTACATTGTATATGAACTACTACAAAAAGTACATAGCCCTTCGTCCAGTGGATATTAATCATTCTAGAGTTTTTATAAAATGGATTAAAAATATATGTGCCAGAACTCCAGTTGGAATCAACACATTTATTGGTAAGATGCCTGCCAAAATTGCCGAATTTCTTAATTTGCCTGATTTCCATCTATATACTAGACATTGTTTCCGACGTTCCTCAGCTAGTTTGTTGGCGGACTCTGGTGCTAGTCTTACTACAATTAAAAGACATGGTGGATGGAAGTCCAGTACAGTAGCAGAGTATATAGAAGACTCGCTACAAAGGAAACAGAACATTGCAGATCAAATTTTGTCGAAAACTTCGGCAGATAATATTGCTCTCTGCCCTGGTACAAGCTTCACGAAAATAGATTCTGTCACATCTACCAATGAGACTGGCCATGGAGTTTCGTATTATAATTGTAGTTTCGCTAATTGTACTTTTAATTGAATAAACACTTCATTTGAATGTTTACATATTTTCTCATAAAAATAAATCACTTTTAGCACTAGTGCTAAAGATGATTTACTTTTAACACCAGTGACATAAACTGACATTTTAGACACCGAAAGCATGCGTCAAAAATTATACTTTTACTGAGGTTTGTAGAAAAACATAATTATTACAAAAGTACACACATATTCTGTCACTTATAAATCTCATCCACAAGTGAAAAAAAAATCGCCCGAGCAGGGACTTGAACCCTGGACCCTTGGATTAAAAGTCCAATGCTCTACCGACTGAGCTACCCGGGCAGATAAAAAACCTACTGGTCGTGTCGCTTATGAAACCATACATTTTCATAAGTGGGCAAAAACATTTTAAGAAATGAGTGTAATAGTACTAATAGTAGTACTGAGAAAATTTCAATTCTAGAACATCAAGTGAATATATTTATATACACTCCCTGTACCTACCCTATAGTAAAATGAAATCTATAAGTAGTATCATATAAATTATTATACAAAATTAATTGATTTCTTATAGTTTTTGAAAATAAAAAATATTTTCAAAATTATTTCAATTTTGTCTAATTATAGGTATAATAGCTGTCATGTGCCAGACAATTTTCACATAGGTATTAATTTTACGTCTACATGGTAATGTGGAAATGAGGGAAAATTTCAAAAAAATTTGCTGGTTACCACAGTAACAATGTTGAAATAACGCATCTGATTGGTTGAAAATGACTGGTATGAAATTTTCACCGGAAAATAAAAAAAAAGTTAGGTCCCACCGAGATTTGAACTCGGATCGCTGGATTCAGAGTCCAGAGTGCTAACCATTACACCATGGAACCTTGAAAATTACAGAAAATAAATGTATTTTATTGGAAAATGTGAAATTCCATAATAATTATTGTCTTTTTTGGTATATAAACAATAATCAGAACTTCCAAGCTGACGAAAAAAAATATTCTCGACCACTCATTCATTGCCAGTTGTGTTAAATCATATATATATAGTAATTATAGTATATAATATAGTTTTCCATCATTGATACACCTTACAGTGACTTCTAATTCTTATAAGTGCCACTAGGTGGCACTACCGATGCGAATTCTACGACTCTTGCCACTTGCCAGCTTGCCAGTCATTCAATCTCCAGAACTGTCGATTTTGTGAATTTTGTTTCCAGTTCCAGTCTTGACTTTGACTTTTGACTTTACGAAGCATGGATGAGAACGCAAACGCAATGAACGTGAACGAGACTGACGAGACCTGACGAGACCATGTTCTGCGTTCTGCGTCAGTTTTGCGTTCTGGAATCTGGAATTTCATATTTCATATGATTGTATCCAATTTGATGTTGTATGGTATTTCTGGATTCTATTTTTAGATTGAAGTATTTATTTACTTATAATTATAACATTTTCAATATTCTAGAGTACATCATTCCGGCCAGATATTACGAAGGAAATGGATAAAAAAAGATATTTTATTTTGAATTAGGTAGCATTGGAATCATCCAAAGATTACATAAAACCACAAAATTTACTATTGACTATCATTAGAAGATTGAAGATTTCCATCTTCACCAGGATCAGCGTAAGCCAGGATGCCGAAATACTTTTCAGATACAATTATTTTCAACTATAATTGGGACCAAGTGGCCCAAGGTTTCTGGAAAAAATATCCTAATCCTAATAGGTAATGTTTTTAAACATCATGTTTGGAGATCTTTAGGTAGATTTGAATATTTCAGTAAACATGTGCTTACTGAAGATACTTATGAAAGAGAAGTACGTTCTGGTAAACTGTGTTCCAAAAGGCTTTTGAGCAAAACCAATAACATTCCAAAATGGGCTGAAAGATTCTTCCATGCCAAGCATGTGAATATCATTGAAGAAAGTATTGTGGATCCTGCAAATAAAATCCTTGTGACATATACAAGAAATTTGGGATATACTAAAGTAATGGTGTGTAATGTCAAGTTTGAAGACCTCCTTTAAGACCCTCAACTTTTTGCTTTCTGATGATGTTATAATATGTATTGAAACAGAGTTTTGAGTCTAAAGAGTGTTATAAAGCTTCTCAGGAATCAAAAATGCTTCATTCAGTGTTGCTGTTTCTATCAACAACAATTTCAAGTCATTGATGGCTTACCACTCTGCATAATATCATAATTGAATCCCACCCAAGTTCTTGTTCTTATAAAAACTGGCTCAATAAATGTTCAAAAAGCAAACAATACTTCTTGCAGAGTGTCACAGAGAAAGTTATTTACCAAGAAAGTGATCAGCACCCTGGTAAAACTGTTGCCTTGAGATCTGCCTGGATAGATTCTCAAGTCAGAGGCTTCAGTAGGGCAATCTGTGCCTTTGGGTATGAAAGATTCAAGAAAAATTGTAACAAAATGGTAAGGTATTCAATATTACAAAACTTTGGTAAATCTACACTTGTATTTACACTTTAAGATAATCTTTCCCAAAACAAGGCTATACACTTTTCAACAAAATTATGATTTAACATTTTGAAATTGAGAATAAACACATTGCAAATAAGGATAAACACATTCACATTCAATGCATGATCACCACAATCATATCCAAAATCACTCAAAACTTAATATTCAAATTGATTATACAATATGAAATTGAGAATAAACTATTCTGAAATGGAAAATGACAGCTACAAATACAATAACCCAAGAGAATATAAATTTCTTGAAGTAGGTGAATAACCTATTTATTCATTGAAACCAGAATTCATTCATATCCATGTAGTAATTATATTATTATTAATTAGAATATGTTGATTCCTGTTAATATCTTTATTCTCATGTTATATCCAAATATTCATTATTATTTGAATGTGTTTATTCTCAATTTGAATATTCTGTTAACTTATAAATGTCAATTTTGTTTTTATTCTTGAATACTCACAACATACACAAATTTCATCTTCAATGTGTTCATTCTCAATCTGAAAATGGATAGTTTCAATTTGAACTTTTTGAATTTGTAGAGCACTAAATTTAAATATGTTTATTAATGTGATCCTTCAACTATGTACATTCTCACTCAGGAAGTGTCTATTTTAAATTGGAAAGTGTCAAAACACTCCATTTTAATGTATCTTTAAACAATTTCAATGCATCTATTCTTAATTTAATTGTTCATTCTAATTTTATTAATAAGTAGATGATGTTTTCTTAGGTTCCTGGATTCATTCACCATCTTGAATGAATGTATTCACAGTTTTAATGTGTTGATACTCAATTTTAATGTGTTAATACTCAATTTCAATGTGTTTATTCTCAATTTTAATGTGTTCAATCTTAATTTCAATGTGTTTATTCCTCAAATGTGTTTTCTTGATTAGAAGTTAAGTAGACACATGTCATTTTTCAGGTTGGTGGTTTCAATCATGTTCTAGCAAACCTTTATCCCCTCCCCAATACCATACCCAATACCTTTGCTACAGTGAGTGCTGCTGCCAAACTGAAAGATGCTGCAAAAAATGCCTCTGAACTAGCCAAATCCAAGGCAGTTCCGATTTATGCTTCACTCCATCCCAACTAATCTTGAAGAACCAAGGTAATTCTTATTAGTGGTAAGTTTTGAAGGATAAGATGGAAATTTTCAAAAATTCATTTTCAACCAATATCTATTGGCAAAATTCTAGTAATAAATCATTGAACAAGTAAAATCAACTTCTTTTGTAAAAATATAGTGCATCATATTTAACCACAGTCATCTATTTCTTAAGGTTTCATTTGAAACTAAGTGAACATGTAATATCTGGTGTTATGGTTAGAGACAAATTAATGTTTTTGATATTCCTGAAATTTTTAGTGATAAACCTCAGTAACTAACAAGTGAAATCAACTTCTAATGTAAAAAAATAGTGTGACATAATTGAATAAACTCATCGGAAATAAAACTATAAAGACATTGGATTTCAGAAAACAAATCTGTTAGTCATTATCAACTGGGTATTTTTCAACGAAATGTGCCAGGTATAGACTTCTTCCATAATCATTTTCATATTTTATTTCTATTTTAGTTGATGACATGGTCTGGGATCCGTTAAATTCAAATAGATTTATTTTCAGGTAGACATATACAGTATAATATTACCTGGATTATTCTAATCCCATTATTGTTATAATCTTTTGATATTTTTTTTTATATACATATACCTTCTTCCATTTTTTCATATTTAAGCTAGTCATACAACATTTCAGTAAGATGTCATTCTGTAATGAATTGTATATAATGTATAATGTTGAAGTTACCTAGACATAGTTTCAGAATTCTTGTTTACGAATTGAATAGGGAAGAAATAAACAATTAGATGTTCTGACTTCTTATTTTTGATGAAAGACATAACTAATGATAAAATGTCCAGATCCTTCTGAAACCTAGTAAAGAATTTTCAAATACAAAAGTCATTCAGTTGATTAACCTACTCCTGTCGTTGAATAAATAAAACATGAGATAAATCATAAAAGGAGGAAGCCATGTTTCAAGCAACCAACATTTCCAAATATTTCTTATACTTCAAAACAAAATATCATGTACATTTTAAGGACTTGGCAACGATGTGTTGAATACTGTGAACTGACAAGGCACCGCCCACAACAGTGGCGTATTTGGGGGGGGGCAGAGGGGCCCGGACCCCCCCCCCCAAAGCTGGCTACACTCGAATAAAAAAACGAAAATTTCGGTTAATCCAGTCTTATTTGATATTTATAGAAATCTACCATTTAATTATTAATATATGATGATTGTTTAATGCTACACGGTGTGGATATATTATACACAGAAAAACTCGTTAAATCGTTAGTTCATACCTGAAGTGGAACCACGAACAGTTGAGAAGAAGAATATTATTCTCTTCGCCCGCGGGTCAGCCCGTTACCACCGATACAACAAGGCCTGCATGCTCCGTGGGTGACGCCACTTGGTCAGGCCTAACCAGCGGCTCGAAACGACAAGCGCTTATAGCGCTATAAGGCGACCGCGTATTTCGATTTTAGTTTTAGATCATCATTGAGCCGATTTTGCTGTTTTTTGAAAGGCTTCCGGTTAAAAAAGGATTTCAGTCTTCAACTGAGCCCTTCTTCGCACCCCATTCGATTTTATTATGGAAAAACGAAGTTTTAAAGCAAAAACCAGGATAAAACACAAATATCCACCTACACCAACCCATTCGAATTAAATATAATGGCAAAAATTGTGGTGAAGGTAAACTTCACACGTACTTATACAGGGCCCGCAGAACATAAACTTATCGTGAGATTGATCGAAAGAAAATTGTGGAAAATGTATTTTATTTTGATTGACATGCGGTTTGTTACAATAACCTATATTTATCTTGGAGAATTCCTATTACCTGAAAAAATAACCAGTGAGTGTTTCCAATTTTCTGTTGTTGGATTTTTCACCCAAGTGAATCGTTACACTTGAAACCGTAATTTTTAAGGGTAAAACTGCATTTATCATGCGATGGTTTTTTTTTTGAAATTTTTTTTCGGTACTCACGTATTTTTGTCTGATAAGCCGAATTTTATAATGAAAATGTGAACAAACCACTATTTATTGAGATATTTCAAGAAAAAGTTCGAAATTTCGCCTTCTTTCTCCCCTTGTGTTTGGGGCATTTGAAGCTACTTGCTCTTATTTTGTCATTGGACACTTTATATACTCATGGTGTACTTCGATGGCACATTTTTATATAGAAAATTCAACAGGAAATATGATTTTTATGGCGAGTTTTTCATATTTAGTGAACAAGCATTCCAGATGACGACCATTTAATCAATATAGTCAATCAAAATACGAGATGTCAAATGTCAATAGATTGCTTTCGAATGACATTACACACGCCATTATTTTGAATGATATTCTTCCTTCTTTTCACTAAATATGGATTAATCTCAAGAAAATCATATTTATAGTTGAATTATATATAAATTGTCCAATATGATGAAAAATGAAGGGAAATTTGTTCTAAATGCCATCCAGAAAAAGAAGGTGAAATTTGGAACTTTTCAGTCAAATATCTTCATGATAAATATCATGATAAATGCAGTTTTACCTTTTTTGAGTAGAGTGTTTGTAGTTCATGTTAATATGATAGTTGCAATTTGATCATTGGAATGAATTCTGCATTCATTGCCACGACCACGAGGCAAATGACCGTTTTCAGAAAGAAATTTGAGAATGAGAATTAAAAATGCCCAATTATTATGAACATTCAAGAAAAATTCCTCGAATTCAGAGATGATTTTGTTGACTATAATATACGAATACAAAACTAACTGCACAATCAAAGCTTTTCTATTTTTCCTCTACTTATACTTTTTATGAGAGAGCAATTGTCTTCTATTATTAATTCATCATTATAAATTGAGCTCTGTTTACTACTGAACTTAGATACTTAGATGGAGTAAAATCCTCGCGGTGAATTGCATATACTTACCCACATTTTCGATAGCTCCTCGTCCAACGGGAAACTAAAAGCATGAACTTTTGAACAAACCACATAATTCCCCCGACAAAAGGGAACACAACACTTGAAAGGCATTGTTATTTCGCCGATTACAACACAAAATATTTCACAAAACAGTAATTTTTTCGCCAATTATTTTGATGAATAAACAACAAAAGAATTCGGGACCGTTTCAAAAATATACGTGAATCACAGATGAATTAACACGAACTGACGCGTTAGACGACAAGCGATAAAATAAAACACTGGCCTCACTTGGCGACGTCACGAGCTGTTTACGTCAGAGTCTGCTGACCTTGTTGTATCGGTGGTAACGGTCAGCCTGACCGGCGGGTGGCGATCGTGTTTGCGTTTCCGTTCATATAATCGGTGGCGATCACGTGGCTGCCAAATGATCAGCGTTTACTGTTCAAAATTTTCAGTTAGCTGTAGACTGTAAAGTCGCTGAGTTAGGTAGTTGGTGGCGGTGGTAACTTTGCATGAGTAATCTCGAGTCATATCAAGACAAGAACTAAGAGCTGAATAGTATGGCAAAAAAGATACCAGATTTGCCCTCTACAGCAATCGAAGCACTTTGTTTTGGGATGAGTTTGTTCCCTGCAATAATTATTTTACTGCAAATATTCGTGACTCTACCTCTGTATCAACGGCAACAGCGGAAAGGAGCATTTCAACCATAAAGCGCATGAAAACCCACTTAAGGTCGACCATGGGTGAAGACGTTACCACCGATAACAATGGTCCTACTTTTACTTAATATTCACAAAGAAGTTGATGGTTTGAATATTGAAAATGTAATAAATAGGTTCGCCACAAGTAAAGCCAGACGAATGAGCCTCAAAGACTGGTCAGGCTGAAATAATTGACCTAAAAAAAATTATAAGTATGCTGTTTTCCATGTTTGTTCATTGCTTAGCCAAATTGAAAAAGAATGGTTGTTCTGGTGTTGTTTCGTTTAATTATATTCGTCAATGTATCACGACAAATTTTGGCAACATTTTTTATTTTTGCCTCGGCCCCCCCTAAAGCGAGATTGATTCTAAACACGCCACTGGCCCACAATTCGTTCGCCGTGTTGACGTTTTTCCGTTCGAATGTCCTTTAGTGTGAATTATAATAATCATTGTTCACAAAGATGTATTATACAAATGAGCCACAACACATGAGGGAAAATTTTGAGACAATTCATTTTTTATTGATAATTAGGAATATTACCAATACATAATCGAGAATTTATAAATTATTGAATAACTAAATATTTCTGAAGTTTCCGGTCGTATGTCAACATATGGTAACTGTGCTATGGCCCAGCGAGCACAAACATCCCTGGGATGTTTTGAAAATGTTGGCATGAAGATGTTATTTTGAGACGTAATATGCACTGACCAACGAGGTCTTTGAAGGATATTGAAGTATTGTTTTTGTTCTTCTGTGGTATTTCTTTGTTTGCCTACTGAGAGGTATCCCTGGGATGTTTTAGAGATGTAGGCATAAGGATGTTTTTTTGAGGCGTAATATCCGCTTCCCAATGAGGTCTTCTCATGCTTATGTCACAGTACGATGAATTCTGATATGTTTTCGATTTTGTTCTTCTTGTTCGCAATTGGCATTCGCGTTTGCAGCGTGTCACTCTTACAGCGTGTCACTCTTACATCACGCTGCTAACGAACAGAAAGGAATTTGGTGAAGTTTATTGTGTTAGAAGACTTATTTAGTTTGTAATAATGACCATCAGATGCAAGATGTGTTGTTCGGTGCCTCAGTGTAATCAATATATAAAAGTACGAATTCATCAATACACAGCTTCTTCACAGTTTCAAAATTATGCATTGTGGGGAACATTTCAAAAATTGGGAAACCTATTTCCAATTATATGTCTGTGTGTACTAAGCACTACTCAGAAACCGATTAAGAAGGTAATTTCATATCAAGAAAATATTTGTATGTTCAATCTATTTTTAATGCATTTTTTCATTCAAGGGAAATGGAATCCTAATGCAAAAGTTCATTTTGACAAAAGGCTTCAGAAAAGTACCTCGAAAATGGTTTTTTTACATCGATTTAATGTGCGCAAGACACGTTGAAAATGTTATGTTGTGTCCATGAAAATGCTTTAAAAAGAACTAGGGAGAAGGTAGTTTTGTGACATATCAAGGACATCTCGATAATTGCCGCCTGCGGCGGACATTGGCTGTTCTATAATAGTTCTATTGATGTGTGAACAGAACATCGCAGTGGAGGTTCAATGTCTCGAAATCTCGTACTTTTAACATCTCTGAGATGTTTTTGTGCTCGCTGGGGGTCTGCCCCTATACTTACGAAATCGTGACGACAGTTTCTACTCGCGGTAAATTTCTAGACGTTTAGAAATTACCATGGCATTATTGATGATTTTAACACCTTAAAATCGACCAAAAATTCAAAAAAAATATGGAATTGAAAGGTATTTGAGTGATGATTCTATTCAATTGATAAAAAAATAGTCCAATCGCCTTTGCAGCACCTTTTACGCGTTTTTCATGTAAATAATGAGTCTTTGCATTGTTATGCTGTTTCATTATTGGTCAGATATAATATTCCATTCCCACTCATAAAGCAAGGTAGTCAGATCACCAATTATAGTCAAGTTATTAAAAAATAAAATATTTCATTTGACCTAATAGTAATCATGTAAATATTGGCTATGGAGACTTGAAAATGCTGTGCTGAATGCTGAGAACTGACAAGACAACGCCCACATTCCTGTGTTGTCTGTCACGTTTACCGGACCAAATGGCCACTAGTGTGAATTAATGTAATTAGTATTAATACAAATTCATCATAAGACACAACATATAAGAGGGTCAATTTTGAGGAAATGGATTTTTTAATTCATAATTGAGAATGAAAATCACTGTAACAATATTGATGATTTGAGTACTTTAAAATCGACACAAAAAATCTAAAAAGTTATGGAATTCAAAGGTAATTGAGTGAATATTGTATTTAAAAATGTTAAAAAGTTAACTAGCCCAATCGGGATTTTGTAAATTGACGCAGCGTCGACAAATGTGATCGCATTTTGAAAACTACAAAATGGCAGAAATATAATTATTTCGGTTTGATGTATTTTTTAAATTATTATCGAAGCATTCTTTCTTCAGGCAAATGTGCCTTCTGGAAGGTAGTTCATTTCGAAGTCTTCATTGATGAATGTTCACAAGGAATCTAGGTAACAATAAATTGGAGGTCCATATTGGCGGAGATTGCTATTTAGGAGAACACCAATTCCTACCTTATTTCCCTTGGTTCTCACGATATTCTCTGAACATTACAGGATATCCCTTTTCGTGGGATCCAGAACATAAAAAAAACAGAATTATTGCTTAATATAATGGGTGAGACCACTGAATTTTTAAAACGGCATCATCGTGAGCTCTATACCAAGTTAGTCTTGATTGTCCATAATTAAAAAAATACAGCATATGAATATAGTGGGTGGGGTATTGTATGAAAAAATGAGTAAATACATCAATGTCTACATTTTTTCTCTTGTGTAAATGAAAAACAGTGGTTTTTTATAACAATTCATAACACTATAAATACTACTATTTGCCACCTTAATTATCACAATTGAATTAATATTACAAGGAAGACTTTATTTATGATTTCAAATAGACTCTCACTCTATGGTATGCATTACTCAAAACTCCTCTCAAGTTCCATATATTCTCGAAACTCTCTGGTTGAGTGTTGTAACAGGAATCAACAGCTTTGGCCCATATTTCAACCTGAAGAAAATAAATGTCCCTATTTTGAGAAAATGTTTTCATTTCAACTTACGCTTTTAGCATTATTTTCCACGGGAATTTCGGCTGACCACAAGGTCCAAGCCCAGTGCTTGGGTGGCAAAGCGGAATCCTGATGATCAAACTTCGCAACGTGCCAACTTTTACCACCGTCAGCTGTCACATCGACTCTCACTATCTTCTGTCCGCCTCCTGACCAAGCATAACCTAAAAAACATGTTGAACAATAAAAGAGCGCTGATTTAGTCGATAACTGAATTTTCAGATTCAGCATCCCGAAAATCTTATGGATCCGTTGAGAAAAATTCTTTAGCAATTTTTCCTGTCTAAACTACCAAGTTTACCTTTGACAGTTATTCGCCCATTCTGCACTTGGACTGTATCCCCACCACCGGGTTGGCAAATGGCCGAAATTACTGGTAATTCTTGGATGGCCGGTGATTTACTGAAATCCACAGTGTCCCAGTCTGTGGAGGGCGAGAACCCTTTATAGTCGTTCTGTTGCCAGTGAGAGTCACTCTCATCCTTGGCCACGACAATTTTGCCTGGAAGGGAAAATTGCTTACTCATTTTGATGCATTTGAATTTATATATTCTTCACGTTCCATTTAAGAGCGGTACTGAAGGAACTTGCTAAGAAAAGAAGAAGAAGAATCATTTGGAAACACGTTTGTTGATTGCATCAACATACGAAAATGTAAGGTTATTATCTCTGAAAAGAGCTTAAAGAAAATGAATAATGTAAAATCTGGAGACACTTCTATTGTTACAATAATATTATAAAATTAGGTACTTCGTAAAAATTCCGGCAACATATACAGAAGCTGATGTGGTTTTGCTTTCTCAGAATTCCCAATCCCCTCCAACTTTTCTAGGAAATCTACAGGATCTGTGCAACATAGTATAAATTCCAGTGGTATGTTTTCAGTTTAGGACCATGTGTACAGATTCAGGTACTCTGTTACAATACACAAAATAATCCAGACAGGAATATCTGGAAGATCAGACAATTCTAAAGTATCTGGGAGATCCAGAGGACTGAAGGAACCAAATTGCCTACATTGTGATGTTTCAACAGTACCCAACATATAATCTGGGTTGAAGTTGGAAATATGTTTCTTTTTATCGCTTGGAGCGCACGAAAGGAAATCTCTATAATGTTCAAAGAACTTGAACTTCTGGAGACTATATGTTGTTGGGAATACTTCCTCAGGCAATGAATTCCAGAGCCTAGCCGTTCTATGGATGAAGGAGTTTAGATAAAGTGCTGTTCGACATCTTTCGAAGTTGACAACGGAAAAATGTGCCGACTGGTCTTGTCTAGTTCGTCTGACTGGTATTGCTAGTGAAGGGATGATAGCAGAGATTTCGGAAGAATATTTTCCGTGGAAGTATCGATAGAAAAGTAAAAGGTCGCCGACCTTTCTACGGTGTTCCAATGATGTCAAAGAGTGAGTGAGTGTGGCGTCACCCACCAGGCGAATGGATCTTCTCTGGATGGAATCTAAGAGCATCAGCGTATGTTTTGATGCTGAACCCCATATGTGGGAACAGTATTCTAGAACAGGCCATATCTGCGCTTTGTAGATCATGAGAAGCTGTTGAGGTGTAAAGTAGCTTTTCGCACGGAACAAGAATCCGAGTTTTTGTGAAGCAGCTTTTGCGATGGATCTGACATGATTATCCCATGAAAGAGTGTTGCTGATGGGAATACCGAGCATAGATAGGGTGGGCTTGGTGGGGATGGTGGTGCCAGACATTACAATATCGGGCATACTGAGTTCCGCCTTTCTAGAGAAAATACAGGCTTGAGTTTTGGTGGCGTTGAATTCAACTAGGTTCTTCTCTCTGTTACTCTCTGGAGCTGGTATTGTCTGGCTCTAAAAGATGACCGCAGAAAAGAATGTCAGCCCAGAGCACAATATAAATGTTGTGATCATCAACTCATCGTCGATTCAAAAACGGAATATCAAGCTAGAAATGGTGGTATCAGTTCTAAGTCCAGTCAGTCATATCGTTCGTGACTTGATGAAAGCAACGTCATCAGAATCTGCAAAACCGAAATTGTTTAGATACTTTAGGCTCCGAGGACTGAAAGTTTTCATCCTCTCCCTTTCGTCCCCGGACTTCTTTGGCGCGCCAAACTATACCTTGACACTAATATACACCTAAAACTTCGTTTTTCACCATGAATAACAACGAAAGCAAGTTGAAATGAATTGATATACAGAGAAAAGTGACTGTCTTGCTTTGCACTCTTGTTACTGACGAACCGTTTTTCAAATAATTACTAATGAAAATTAGGAACTATCCTTCAGAACTACAAACCACTCTTGTGGCAACACAGCCTACGAAAAACGCGGCGTTGTCGCTGGTAGAGCAAGAAATCTGTAAAATGCAAGAGAATGTGATAGTTTAATGGTTAAATATTGTGGACTAGAATCCGGCGAAGTATGATTGTGTAAGATGATATGGATCGACACGATGCTTATATTCTCACCTAGCCACTTGACGTTTCTCGCACCGACTACCCCAGGTACTATTACCCTTATTGGAAACCCATGGTCTCTGGGTATTGGTACACCGTTCATCTCATAAGCCAAAATAACATCCCCTCTTTTATCCAGAGCTTTCCAAATCGGTATGGAGGCACCGTACATCTTTCCAGTAACGTCTGCGTCTACACCTTCAAACTGGAATAGACAGGCTTTTTACTTACATGTATTATATACCAATGCGTCTCAAAAAAATGTTCCATAGAAACAACAATGGTAGATAACTTCAGGAAAACAACTACTTCTCCAACTATGTCAGTAGAACATTTTTAAAACCATCTGCTAACTTCTAGAACCGGGAGGAAGGAATACTCTACTTGGTGGTTAGGCGTTTCTAAACCTGACCTCAATTCAAGCACAACGTGGCACAACTTGGCATTTAGGAAAGAAACTCTTGAAACCTGTATTTGTTCATACAAATCATTGCATAGATTTCTGGAAAATGAAATGCTGCGTAGCATTGTTCTAATTCAGTGGGAATTACTGCATTTTTTCTTTTTTATACTTCAGAATCTTGACTTTTCCGTAGTTGCAGTATTCAGTTTATGAATACCTAAGTCTCGATCTTCTTTGAAATTAAAAAATAAAAATTCGAGCAAGCAGAAATACATTTCGACTTTTTCAAACAAACCTGAATATGTTGATGTTTAGCATCATCTTCATTGACACCAGCAAGTTTAAGAATTTCCCGCAATGGTACACCTGTCCACGTTGCGTTTCCAATAGCAGCCGGGCCCCAATTCAACCCTTTTACAGGTTTCACCTTAAATATATTTCAGTGCTTTATTTGGGGTTTTTATGCGTTTTTTGCACAAACCTTTGTCATTTCTGATCTTCTACAACCAGCACACATGATCGTGGCAGTAATAGTTTGCTTTGGCATCTTCTTCAACTCATCCAAACTGAAAACTCTTGTTTTATCTTTGCCTTCAATGTATATCTCGAGTTCGTAATTTTCTGGATCTATTTCAGGTACTGGTAAATGATTCCTCACATAAAAAAGTTCACTGTGGAATTCAATTTAAAGTTTTAGTACAACAGATAACGACCAAAGTTTTTCTACAAATAAAATATGCATCATGTTGTCGCATAAACATAATTGCATCAAACAAATTGAAATTAAACTGTGTTGAATGGTAAATATAACTTCTTCCACATCACTGGATCAAAGCAGAAACTTTCTAGAGCTGTTAATGCTGGAGATTCATGTATTTTTGTTATTTTGTGAACATTATTTGTCTATGAAAAAAGTAACTTTTCAAATAAGTATGACATTCGCCTAAACCATATCCTTAAATAATATTCTGATGTAGGTATTGAATATGAAGGTTACACAGAATTTCATAGCCTACTGATTTACACAGAATTTCATAGCCTACTGATATTTCTGCAATTATTTTTAATTTGAAGTGACCTTATCCTTATAGTGCAAAATTGAAAGTCTTTAGGAAGGTAATTTTTGAGTAAAATCAATATAATGAGTTTATATTGGATGGGAACATTTCAAATTCCTTTCTACTGACATGAGATTAATTTTGACAAGGTGATAAAATTAACAAGTATTATTCTCAGTATTTTTTGAAAATTGAATGAAACCATCATTCTTATTAAAATAATATCATATTCATTGTTTTTTTTGTTTGTCCTCATTGTGAAAATATCTACCGACCTATATTCAACATTGTAATGTTTCATCAAAGACCAATAAAAGTAAGTTTTTAGGAAATCATAAAAAAAAACGATTTCACTTCTCAGAAACTGGTCAATATATTTTTTGAAATGCCATGTATCAAATGATACTTTTAAGGGCTAGTGGCTATGCGTTTTTGTATGGTTTATATGCAACTTCCAAGTGCTACTAACAAAACACTCAAATAGCAAACTAAAGTGGGATAGTTGTGTTCTGTGAACTCAGCCTAACCCTACAACAATAATCATTTATATCATATTCCAGTTAAGAATATAGCAGACAGTTAGATAGGGACACCGTATGTTTAACCTCGTTCTTGCGATATCGTTATTGATGAGGAGCATGATTCAAAGACAAAAAGAATACTAGACAACAATTGAAAGGAAAATACATTTACAGGGTGCTCCAGAGAAACTTACTTTTTTGAAAGTTCAATAAAAACAAAAGCACTGTAGTTATTGTTGTAATTCTTTTTTTATTTGAAAATACAATGTACCAAGTTTTTTTTCATACTGTCTTAAAAATTACATCGGTTAAATGGCGACCCCCATCGCGCACACACTGGTTAAGTCGTTTTTTGAAGTTCTCGTCCACTCTTCTCAGCATATCAATCGGAATATTGGCAATAGCGTCGCGAATGTTGTTCTTCAGGTGATCTATGGTCCGTGGTCGATCGACATAAACAAGGGATTTCAAATAACCCCATAAAAAAAATCACATGAAGTCAAATCCGGAGAGCGCGCCGGCCATGGGAGATCGCCTCGGAGAGAGATGAGGCGGTCGGGGAAACGTTGTCGCTGCAAATTCATTGAGTCTCGTGCTGTGTGTGCTGTGGCTCCATCCTGCTGAAACCACACGTCCCTAACGTTCATTTCTTCGAGGCTTGGAATAAAAAATTCCTCGATCATGCTCCTGTAACGAGCTGCATTCACTGTAACTGCGCGTTCGTTTTCTTCAAAAAAATAAGGGCCAATTATTCCCATTACCGATATCGCACACCATACAGTAACTCGTTCACAATGAAGTGGCTTCTGGTGAAGTTCACGCGGATTCTCACCACTCCAATAACGCATGTTTTGCTTGTTGACGGAGCCGGAAATGTGAAAGTGAGCCTCGTCACTGAAAAAAACGACCGCGTCTTCAGGCAGGTTGTCAAGCAGCAATTCGCATGCATTTTGACGGGCAACAAAATCGCGTTCACTTAATTGTTGCACAACAGCCAATTTATAGGGATGAAATTTAAGTTCTTCATGGAGAATTCGTCTAACAGTGGTGTCCGGAATTCCCAGAGCAACTGCATGTTTGCGAGCCGAACGCCGGGGAGAACGCAGAATTGACTGCCTCACTCTTTCCACAGTTTCCGGTGTTCTGCTGGTCCGTTGACGTCCATTTCTGGGTTTAGCGACACTTCCACACTCCCGAAATGAGTTGACCCACGACAGAATCGAATTACGGCCAGGAACGAGTCTGTGAGGAGGAATTTCGAAGCGAGCGCGAAAGGCACGTTGCGTAGCAACCCCCTCCAGATGCGCCCCCTCCCGCCCCTCTACCTGCCCAACTCAACGGTCGGGAATTTTTTCAAATAATTAAGTTTCTCTGGCGCACCCTGTACAATAGGTATATACGAAAATGAAATTAATACTGGATGTTTCTTGAATTTGCAATATTTCAGTAATTTCTAATTCAACATTCATCAAATATTAAAATCAGTACTGATTCACCTTCAGCGCATCTAAGTGGCAATAATTCAAGTATGAGTATTTGAAGTTGAATATTGTATATTATGTAAAGTGACTAATAAAATGGCAAAACAAATTTAAGTAGTCCAAGAGCCAAGTATTAATTGTAAAAAAAGCTCTGGTGATGAAAATATATCGGCTGACCATCAATAGTGGGGTGGCTTGTTATTAGTCATTAGTTGAAAATAGTTTATTGGGGCTTCAGATTTAGCAGAAATAGTTATTTATTATACAAGGGAAAAAACAATTTTTTGCTCCAGGTTGTGTTGTCCGTGAGCTAAAATCTAATATTTTTTCCGTGTATAATACACTATTTTTTTCTGTGACAGAAGAAAGGACGAATCAATATTGAGAAGATATTACATTATTTTGAAATCTGAAAATGATCCATGTGAAATTTTAAGTTTTTAACAGTAGGGGCACCTGTGTTGTAGGGTGGTTGTAGGCATCATTATCATTCTTTTGAAGTAATCAAATCTCTGATGTCACTTCTGTCAGTCTATATCTGTGATTTGATTTTGAAAAATTGCGAATTTAGTGGTTGTTTAGTAATATAATAGAAGTCGAATGGAAGGAGATGGTATTATTGACTCATTTTTCAGAACTATAGCACAACAAATTCACAAAAAAAAATAGTCATTGGGAGCTTAAGAGAGGTAGTATGATCTGGTGAGCCATTCATCATCATTTCATTAAAAATAAGAAATTAAGTTAAGGAACTAGAGCAATATCAACCCTAGCCGACCCAGGTTTTGAGGTCACCAGGCGTCACTGCAGGCATGTATTTGTATTTGGTGGGTTTACTTGGTCTACTGGAGGGTTTACTAGTCTGAAGTAAGCTTTCTATACCATCAACTTTATTCTTAACTAGAATACACTAATGTGTGAAGCATGGTGCATTCTAACTCAATCTTAATGATGAAAATTATGTAATTACTAACCCTGACTGTTTTGTGGGGATAAAGCAACTGTTTTGAGGAGACATACCATGACCAGAATCCACCAGAATTGAGTAATTCTCTTGAACTCCAAGGAGAAAATTGAATAAAACATTACTATGTACAGATTTCTAGTATGCTGTCAAAATTTTCATGGGTAAAATATGCAAATATGAATAAAAATCTATTAGCATTGAATAAAACAGATCAACAGTAGGTAGAGGGTGATTCTTACTTTGGTGTATAAAAACTCTCTACTAAAAAAGATGGAGGACATTCTGCATTGAATGGTTTAGCACTTGCTGGTTTCAAAGCAGGATGGCGCTTTGGATCAGAGCTATATGGATCTGACATATCAGCAGTCATATGCTGGGCATCTTCTTTATTCAAGTTGCCTATTCTGTAAGACTCCAGAATGTCAAAAACATGAGGATTTTCATGTATTCCATACAGAACCCAGAAGGGTTCTACTGAACTTCCTGCAGCTATCAAAATCTGATCACCCCCAGGGTGACCTTCAATGAATTTTGTGATGTCATATACTCCCTCTTTATAGGTCACCCATATTCCAGACTCCCTAGAAATTTACAATCAGATTGACAGAATTTTAGTGAGCATTCAACATGTATTTACATTATTTCTATCAGATATTCTCCAGGTAAAATTTACAAGGTATACAACAATGAAAATAACTGTAAGTGACTTACACTGTTGTATGTTTACCCACTTCCTCAAGGGCATAAAATGGCAAGTTTTCCTTGAATTTCCCAATCTCTTTGACATGTTTCTGTTGAACAGAGGGTGCAGTTGCTGCATAGACTGCATTTTTGTCATCTGACCATTCTAAATATAAGGCAGTAGCTAATATGGTACCAACTCCAATATTTCCAGCAAAGGAATAATTATTTCTTTTATATTCATTATTTCTCTGTCCATTCAAACATTTCACAGCCTGGAAACTTGTTTGGTGCAATCGAAATTTGGTTGAAATACTGAAATGTGATTGATGTGCAAGAATATTATAGGTAGGATGGAAATATAATGTAATCTAACCTCCTCACTATTTTTTGCATTTCTTCACATTCAGAATATGTTTCATCCACTGATGGTCATTTCTTCTTCAACTTTTATGATATAATCACAGAGCCAAGGAGAAATAGTGTGTTGTATCCTTTTATCCTTTCTGAGTTTCTGTTTGTGAATGCTGACAAGTGTGTGCTTTAGAGAATGCTGACTCATGATTCAATATCTCTACTTTTACATTATCATTACTATAAAAAGGTCAAGGTTGAAACCGGGTGACAAAAATACTGATAAAATAGCAGTAATATGTTTTTATCTGATGGTTAAGTTATGAGTATCTTCCCTCATTCTATGATGAATACTTCACATTATCCACCTCAGAGTTCTCAATATTATTAAGAATTGATGAAAACAGGTTTAACGATGAAATATCATCACTTGGAATGATATGTACCTATTTGTTTAATACATTAATACATTTTTTATTATTTGTTTATCACATTTATGCATTTCCTGATTTGTTTGATTTTGCCGTTTTTGGATTTTAAGGTTATTGTTTATTGTCTTATTTTGACACGGAACTCAACTATGTTGACCTACGTGAAGTGGGCTGCCAGAGCTGGCTGCCAGAATTTCCGAACTTTCCCGATCGACCAGTGGCACACGTTTCCCCCCTTTTAGGGTAGGGAATATCGAAATCCCTCAACTGCTTTTGTTTGCGATGATGCGATGTATAATGTATAATAAGCACTGCACAGCTGCTTCTGGGTCCCGAATCATTCTCAATTGAGTCTATAGAATAATCATTCTTTACCAAATCATAGGCATGAAAGACTAAAATTTAAAAAATATTCTATTTTCGATACTTTGTCAAAAACTTTCCAGCTGCTTTTGGGTCAGGAAGATAGGTAATCATGTGTAGAATCATGCTATCTAAAAATAATTCCTTGCGAAATCGTATGGTAGACTCCACACGAAAAAAAACGGATTTTTCGAAAATATTCTTTTTCGATACTTTTGCAAAAAACTGCTCAGCTGCTTTCGGGTCAGGAAGATAGGTAATCATGTGTAGTATCATGCTATCTAAAAATAATTCCTTGCGAAATCGTATGGTAGACTCCACACGAAAAAAACGGATTTTTCGAAAATATTTTTTTTCGATACTTTTGCAAAAAACTGCTCAGCTGCTTTCGGGTCAGGAAGATAGGTAATCATGTGGAGAATCATGCTATCAGAAAATAATTCCTTGCGAAATCATATGGTAGACTCCATACGAAAAAAACGGATTTTTCGAAAATATTTTTTTTCGATACTTTTGCAAGAAACTGCTCAGCTGCTTTCGGGTCAGGAAGATAGGTAATCCTGTGAAGAATCATGCTATCAAAAAATAATTCCTTGCGAAATCGTATGGTAGACTCCACACGAAAAAAACAGCTTTTTCGAAAATATTTTTTTTCGATACTTTTGCAAAAAACTGCTTCGCTGCCTTTGGGTCAGGAAGATACGTAATCATGTGGAGAATCATGCTACCTATCAGGAAATAATTCCTTGCGTTAAAGTCACCTTAACAGGATTATAAACTGTCTCCTTGGGTACGGACAGATCCTCGTCTCCTCTCACTCTAAAGAGTTTGTGAAAGAGTTGTCTCATTCAATTCTGGGGATAAACACTAGATTTTTGACATTTGTTGTTTTTTAGGTTATATTGAGGTCATTGGCGTATCATACGTAATTTCCATATGGAATTCCTGATTTAACTATACCAAGATATAGTTGAACAACTAATGTTAAAAGTGCAGTTTTGAGCAGTGGTTAATTGAATACCACACCCTAAATACCACTAGAAGTGAGACCTGGAGCCAATGCAGTGTTCGTGATATTTTCATAAAAGACTTCAGTGACCCACAAATTGGTTCGAAATATTTCGCTATTTTGTGATAGATTGCTGCACATACCCTTCAGCGATATTCGTAGACTTCCAAGCAAGAATGTCTCCTCCAGAATTTGCAAGTGAACTTGCCGAGGTTCTTATGAAAATCTGAAACTATGCCCGGTATAATTTATGACATCAGAGGCAGTTTTAAAAATTCTGCAATTTGATGACCGATGACCTATGACAGATGACCGATGTCAGTTGATGATCGGTGACAGATGCCCGATGACGTGTGACAGTTGACGTATGAGTTGGATGAAAAATGAATACATATACAGTGTGTTCGAGACAAATGAATATCAGAAGAAACATATACAGAGCGACCTACAAAACCAGAGGAAGATCAAATATCTTGAACCAAATGAAATATGGAAAAACATATACAGGGTGACCTAAAGTATCAGAGCCAGATCAAAATCTTATTGATGAAAATTGAAAAATTACTCAGTGCGTTTACAGACCGAGCTGAATTCCAGAGGCAGATCAAATATATTGTACCAAATGGAATATTATAATTCATTACAGGGTGAGCAGAAGAACCAGCGGCAGATTGAAATCTTATCGATGAATATTTAAAAAATACACAGTGTGTTTGAGACGAATGGATATAACGACAAAAACATATACAGAGAGCCCTACAAAATCAACCCAGAGCGCAATATTGCAGTCCAACATTGAAATCACTTTCCCAAATTTATTTATCTGTGAAGTTATTCCGTGAGTTTCAAAAATCGATTCAGCAACATTGAACCATAATGTAGGGGCTCATGGTTCCAAAAAGTTGGTAGGTTAATTGATTCGATTGATTCTTGCTCTTTCTTGGAATGTTCAGTTAATGTGTCTTCTGAGGAGATGTTGTCATGAGGCATGATATTGTTTGGAAATGTTGAAATTTCACGATGTTTTTCCAAAATATCGAGTCTTGCTTCCAACGAATCATATTTTTCATTATTTTCATCAAATGTGACGATCAGAATCACGCACAATCCTTCAAGTCTAACGATCTTCTTCGTAAAAATAGTATTCGAAACATCATTTCGTATGATTCTTGATGAAATCTCTGAAAGTATGCTCCTGTAGTTGGCTTCGTGGAATTAATCCTTATAAGTTTTTTTAATGTACTCTGTCAGCATTTCCTTCATATCCGAAAATTCTATCGAATCACTAACATGGATGTTGAAATATCTTAAATTTTGTCTGATCTGGCCTTCGCTCAACTGCTCCATAATATCACGTCGGGGTCCGAAATGGTAGATACAATTGATACAAATTATAAGACTATAAAAATGTCACATCAATGTCAGACTATAAAATCATACCTTATATACCAAGTATATAACATAACTAGTCACCATAAGTAATCTTCTGTTCGGTTCGTATGGACTGGATGGTTTTCTCCGATTGAGTGGCAATAAGTATCGAATACTGCTTCTCTGATCTGCAATAGAACATCACATATCAATCGAAGTAGAAAATAAATATTAGATGAATTACATGGATGTTGAATCTGAGACATACCTGAATAATATATTCAACGTCCGTAACTGGATTGCTACATATCCGCATTCTTTCCGAATAGTGTTTTTTCCAGTAGGCCTCTTCCACATTTTTAATTACGTACGTGGGTTATATTAAGGACCTTGATGGCCAAACGATGTGCTGCTCGGATCTAAAACTGAGGATCAATTTCAAATTTGAATCGTGAGACCTACATAGAATATTGGATATTGTTTTCAACATTCGTAACTGGAACGCGATATATTTTTGTAATTCATCAATTCATCAACTATCTCAATGAAGACGAGACAGGCAGATAAACAACAATTTTCTCTGCGATGAAGAACACTGTATATACCTAACCCACCATGCGCCTACCTCCTTTGCAGAGAGGGTTTATAAACGCCGAGCTGATACTCTCCCCTCGTAAGGGTACCTGTCGTGTTTCCATAGAGACATAAAGGTGAATATCTGTCTTATCTGTTTTCTTGAGAACCTGGAAAGGATATCAATATATTGCCTTCCGTACGAATATAATGATCTGAATTCTGTAAAGTATACTCTGGTCAGGTCTCTTTGCGGATCTTCTGTTCGGTTCGTCGTGACTCGGTGGTTTTCTCAGATTGAGTGGCATGTATCAAACACTGCTTTCTGGATCTGCAACTAAACATCACATAATAATCGAAGTACATTTAAATCAGAAAATTAATCATCAGATGAAGTACATGGATGTTGAATCTGAGACATACCTGAATGATATTTCCATCGTCCGTAACTGGATTGATACATATCTGCTTTCTTTCCGAATAGTGGTTTTTCTAGTAGGCATCTTCCACATTTTCAATGCGTGCTGTTCGGAGCTAAAACTAATAAGGATCAATTTCAAATATGAATCGTGAGACCGTCATAAAATATAAACTCTATGAAAAGTCTCTGGATATTGTTTTCAACATTCGTAACTGAAATGCGATATATTTTTATGATTCATCAATTCATCAACTATCTCAATGAAGACGAGGCAGGTAGATAAACAACAATTTTCTCTGCAATGAAGAACACTGTATATACCCAACCCACCATGCGACTACGTTAGTTCTCTTTGCAGATCTTCTGTTCGGTCCGTATTTACTGGATGGTTTTCTCCGATTGAGTGGCAAGTATCAAACACTGCTTCTATATATACGTCGAAAAAAAAGTTCCAAACTCTAGTTTTTTGTTTTTTTTCGAAAGTCGTCTTGTTTTGAAATGAATTTATTCCATGCATTTGCATCATACTAAAAAAATTCTAAAAAAAAAAAATTGTGTTCCGTCGACCTGAAATATTCTCAGCGCTGCGACGTTGCCGCTCATACTGAAAAGTAGCAAGAACTTTGATTTTTTCAATGAGACACCCTGTATATCATTCCTTTTCGACATTGTCCCTGAAAAGCTGATTCCATCGATCTATCACACTTGGGATCAAGCGGGAATGATAACAAAGATATAGGGTGTGAAAAATCGAGATTTTTCAACTTTCAGCATTTTTTGGGTCGAAACTATTCATAATTGCTCAAAACGGTTTCCATGTCCCTATCTCAACTTTTCACGTACTATCAATTGATATTTAATTGAAATAGATGCAGGGTGGTCAAAAATCTTAATTCTGAACCACCCTGTATTTATTTCAATTAAATATCAATTGATAGTGAATAAAATGTTGGGATAGGGACATGAAAACCGTTTTGACCAATTATGAATAGTTTCGACACGAAAAATTCCTGAAGTTGAAACATCTTGATTTTTCACATCCTATAACTCTGTGATTATTACTGTTAGACCATAAGTGTTATATGTCAGTGGAATCAGCTTCCCAGGAAGAATCTGAAAATGGAATAAAATACAGGGTGTCCTATTCAAAAAATCAAATTTGTTGCTACTTTTCAATATAAGCAGCGGCAACGTCGCAGCGCTGAGAATATTTTAGGTCGCTAGAACACAAGTTATTCCCCAAGGCAACAACTTTTCAGAATAATCCTGAATTGCGTTCTCCAGAAACGTCTAATGTGCCATCTACCGTGAATCAGCCTGTATAGCGACGGCTCCGTTCAAGCGTAACGCAATATTCATAGAAATAATCGAAAAGTATCCGAAAACAGGATTCGAATACAGGATTTGAATATCGGGATTCGAATACAAGATTCGAATACAAGATTCGAATACCGGGATTCGAATACAAAGTGGGTATTTGAATATACTGGGATTCAAAAACGGTATTCAGAATCCAGAATACCGAGTACTGACCAGAAAAGTATTCAGTCGAATACCGAATACCAAATACACAATTGTATTCGAATAGTATTCGAATACCAGCCAAATGTATTCTGAATAGGATTCAGAATACTGGGTATTCGAATACTACACAAGTCTGGTCACGACGAGCTTACACTATTTCTATCATCGAGAATCAGTCGGGAGAAATCCATGAAAATAAGCACGTGATCAGAATTCTGAATCTTGAACCACCCTGTATCTGTTCCGATTGAATATCAGTAAATAGTGAAACAAAAGTTGGGATAGGGCGACATGTGCGCCGTTTTGACCGATATTGAATATTTTCGACACAAAAAAATCCTTATGTTGAAAAATATCGATTTTGAACACCCTATATCTCTGTGATCATTTTCGATAGACCCCAAGTACGATATATCGATGAAATCAGCTCTTCAGGGAAAATCTTGAAATGCGATGAAATACAGGGTGTTCCATTCGAAATATCAATGTTGCTACTACTTTCTAGTAGAAGCGGCAACACTGCATTCTCGAACATATCTTAAATGAAAAGAGCGCATATCAAAATATGAGCATGCACATTTTCATGGACTTCTCCCGACTGATTCTCGATTCAAAGATGTAAGTAAGCTCGTCGTGACATACCCTGTATAGATAAATATGAGGGAAAATTGAGAGAATTTCTCTGCACTCACCAGCGTGAAAAAAGTGAAGCTTTGATGAAACAACACGAAACACTAGAACAAAACACACGATCCCGATATTATTATTATTGAATCGAATGAGGAATACAAAAACACTATATACGAATCAATACGATCACTCAGTTTTTAGGGAACACTCAGTTTGGAATGATAAATAATTCATTTCGCGTATTTTTCGATGTCGATCACAAAATTCGACCGAACGTGATGACACCTAATATAAGACTGTCTTGATTCACCACCTGGTCCCGAATGAATGACTAATAAGTTGAATCATGCTGCCAACCGATTAATTTCCGAACAAAAAATGATTTGTCTATGACTAAATGATGATAATAAAATTGAAAGGGGGGGAAGGAGATATTTTGTATACAGGTGCTATTTTTTTTATCGAAAAATCACTAACGATATGGAAGAATTTTAAATAGGCTGAAGATATATTTTTTCCAAAAATCTCGTGATCATGGAAGAACTTAACATACGATATGTAGTTAAGAGATCGAACCCTTTCCATTACCAAGAAATAATTTACCACATCAGTGACATACAGGCAAACAATTTTTGATTTAGAAATATTTTTAACACTTAGTGGAAACCCTAATAACACACCTCCATCCATTGGACATCTAGTGGAAATCCTCAACCGAACATCCTGGATAGGATAACCACTATGTGTACACAGGACATCCAATGAATGTCCATAGGATATCAGCTTTCCACATTTTAGGACATATACATGCGTTATCCATGATGGACATCCATTCGGGATCCATGATGGACATCCATTCGATGTCCATTATGGACATCCATATGGTGTCTATATATTGGACATATATACCAACCTATTCGTATATTCAAAGGCAGGTTAGGTTATTTTTATTATTATTTCAAACATAGTTCATGGTTGAAACATAAGTGGTCCAATGTACTGGCACAAAAACTGAAATGGATATTTCGCATCATTTCTGCATATTATTTTTGAAAATACTCATTGCATTCCGAATCCATCTCCATGATTCCTGTTCAGTATATTTACTGGTCTAAATTACACCTCAGAATATATAGGTCTGCTTCCCATAAAATATAGTATATTTCCTCTGCCGCTTCATCTACTTATTTGAAAACTGTTGAATCAAACAGCAGTTTTTCAAACTTCTATTTATGTTCTACTTATTCTTGATACGACTAAGTATCTACGAACGCGTGTTCAATTGATTTTTCAAACAACTATTTTATTACAAAGCTCGTTCGCCATATTTGATCCGCCATCTTGAATATCCCAATTTTGACAAAAAATCATAAAGTTCGACCCCGAAAACCCCCAGATACCAAACTTTAATAAAATCAGATCATAATTTTTTTTTCATCGCCATATCCGATCAGTCATCTTGAATTTTACAATTTTCACGAAACAATCATTATCTCCTACCCGAAAACCCCCAGATACCTATTTTTAATAGAATCGGATCATATTTACAAAAACTCGATCCCCATAATTTGATCTTCCTCAATAAGTCGATACCCTGCTGATCTCTGCCCTGTACATACCTATTATTGAAATTTTGAATGATTTTCTGTAGCGCCCATGGACGTGACGTGACAGTAATGACAGGGATGCCAGTAGACAAAACTAAAGTCTCTAGATCATAGAAAAGAATGCAGCTATGATCTGTCAATTTCCATCAAGGGACCCTAGTTCAGCAGGATTTCTTTCGGATAGAGGTTGCGAACTATCGACAGTCCCAAACAAAAAGTGGCCGGTTGTGGAACTTCATGAACCGTTTATTATAAGATCTAAGATCTAAGAATGATGGAAGTGAGATATGGTGTTATTACTGATGCGCTTTTATTTCAGAAATTTTACTCGACCTCTCGAGAACAGCGAGGGCAATGGTTCCGTCTGATTGCCGCAGATTTTTCGAATTCAGAGTTAAATAATCCCACTGTTACATATGTTCCGCGTACCTAAAATGCCATTTGCCATTTTATTTCCACTCGTCACAGCAGCAACAAGGTTGGTAGAACTGATGATTATTTTGTATACAAATTATAATCAGTTCTACCAACCTTGAGCAGCAATTGCAGCAGTACCATCTAGCGGAAAAATGTAGAATCAACGTCTCGCTCGATGTGACGTAGAGAAATCATAGTTGGTGCATGGACTACGCACACCATCTACTTATTTCCATCATTGATTAAGATGCCTAGTCTGGCCTTGAGTCTGGCCTAGTTATCGATTTCATATCGATAGTGGGTATTTCCAAAATACTATCGATAGTACTATAGATAGACCCCATCTCTAGTAAATGTAAATTGTGTTGTGAATTTTGATTGACAATATTGACATCAAATGACGTTTATGGTTTTGTTCACTTGGTCTTAATTTCTTATCTTGTGTTAATCTTCTCCATCAACTATGGGTGGAAAATGGACATATTCACTGTGGAAATTAAACTTTTAACAACTCGTGAAATGAATCAGGAACGTTCTCATCGCAATGGGAGGTTGTATAGGATTAACACGTAGTAGAAGTGGTGCCATAGATGATTCATCAGGATCAGTCAGTCGACCCAACTCAGGTAGTTTCTTTCAGCATGATCTCCAACGTGAATCCAATGATTCCGAATCGCTTTCAGGTAGTCAACGAAAAAACCATCCTTTGTGCCATGAAACAATCAGATGGAAGTCTGATGTGCCCCTCACTGAGGGTCAACTCAGAAGTAAGAGAGACGAATTCTGGGACACTGCTCCTGCATTCGAGGGCCGTAAAGAGATATGGGATGCTCTTAGGGCTGCGGCAGTGGCCGCTGAAGCGATGGATTATGAGCTAGCTCAGGCCATATTGGATGGTGCCAGTGTATCAGTGCCTAATGGTTATCTAACTGAATGTTATGATGAGCTAGGTGCCAGATATCAGGTGCCCATCTATTGTCTTTCTTATCCTATAAATATTGTGAAAGAGGATAGTGGTAGAGATTCACCTGCTGAGTGTTCAGAACCAGTGGATGGGGGTACAGAAACTGTTTTAAAATTAAGACTGTCACATTCTTGTCTGGATGTTAAAATTTCTGTTTATACAACTGATACAATTAGTATCTGTAAAAAGAAGTTGCAGGTGAGTGAGCTTTTGTTAATTGAACATGCCTAGATAGGACAGTTTTTGTGGTCATTGTTTCATCCTAAACTCAAAATTGTCTTTGTCCTAAATTTTCTCATTTCAAATATCAATCATGAAATCATGCATACTACATTCTATTTATTTCCTTTCATTGTTTAGCAAGTGTTATATCAATTGATTATGAATTTTCATCACATAATTTATTGTTTCATTTAAGGCTTTATGATTTTCTATGCTCAATCATGAATATAAAGTGTTATGAATCACTGTTGGCAAAGCATAATCAATGACAATGAAATGAATTTATTATTATCTTTTTTTCTCTCTCATTCTTTCAAAACATGACACCAAAACTACCTACCTATCCATATGAAAAATTTCAAGGGTGAATTGTTGAAAATATTTTATTAAATGAAATTTTTTTTTAGAGTCAAGAAGGGATAGAAACCTCAAGGCAAAGGTGGTTTTATGGGGGGAAATTGTTAGGTGATAAATTGCATGTAGAAGAAGCCAAGATACCTCCTGGATATGTTGTTCAAGTCATAGTAAATATGGAGTCTTTGCCTATTCTGAATAAGGCTTCATAATGCACAAAAATCAAAATCAGGTAAGAAAATGTTTTTGTTTCACTACTCTCAAGTCTCAAGTGTTTCATTTACTGGAGATGACTTATCAAATTGAAGTGCCTTCATTTACATTTTGTATTGTGTTCTGGAAAATTCATCTTTAGTGATTCCCCTATTTAAAATTTCATTTTGAAATAATTGGCTGCTGAAAAATCCAAGGAATGCTCCTAATAAACTTGTTGATGCATAGAGTTGTATCTATTCTTATGTAGGTATGCTTATTGATTTCCTGAACCTTATTCCACATGTCATGTAGGAAATTGGCTTTCCAATCATACATTATAGGTAATGAGGGTTTCAATGTTTTGTTCTGTTGATGTAACCATGGACAATTGTGAAGACAAACAAACACATTTTACTTCACAATTAACCAAGTCACTAAAATTATCCACAAATGACATGATATTTCTATTAATGACTCAATATCTTTGAATAAATATGTAATTATTGTAATGGCAAAATTTCATTTCCAAGGTAAATTTGCACTCATCATGTGTTAAATTTGAACATTATGAACTACCTATTTATGTTGAGATTCCCAAAAATAAATGATTTTTTTCTTTGCATCTAAACTATCAATTTTTATTGATAAATACATGTTCAATTAGATTTTTTGTCATCAATGTAGAAAATGGAGATAGAGAAAAGATAAGTTAGATTAGGAAATAATCATAAGAAATGTTCAAGTAAAGTTTTTGAATGACAAAAATCTGTTGAAAGCATGAGAATTTTGTGGGGGTGACACATTCAAGTGGGGCACCTTGTAGATACTTATAGGTGGAAAATGGACCTAGCCTGTATTTTGAAATAAAAAGTCCATGAGATGAATTAACAACCCAATACTGTGCCACCAAAGGTGACAAAAAATGTTTTAAATCCCCAATACATTCATAAATAGAAGTAAGCAAGACTGAAAACTAAGTAGTACAACTGTTTTCTTTTGAAAAAATCAGACAAGAATGTTCAAAAATCTTGATGGCATATTGTCAGACACCAACAGTTTTATAATACATTTATATTTTCCTATCATACTTTTGAGAAGAGAAGAATGCAATATATATAATGCATCATATTGGATTCGCCATCTTGAATTTCAAAATTTCGACGAAAGAATTATAATCTCCAACCCCAAAAACCCCCAGATACCAATTTTGAATAGAATCGGATCATAATTACAAAACTCGTCCGCCATATTGGATCCGCCATCTTGAATTCCCAAATTTTTACGGAAGAATCATAATCTCCGACCCCAAAAACCTCCAGATACATATTTTGAATGGAATCTGACCATAATTACAAAGGAATTTCAAAAATATTGATGGCATATTGTCAGACACCAACAGTTTTATAATACATTTATATTTTCCTATCATACTTTTGAGAAGAGAAGAATGCAATAAAAAAATATCCACTATCTAGCTTTGGAGTGCTATCTACATTTAAGAACTCATCTGGAAACATGCACATAGGTAAAGAAGAGGTATTGAGGGACAATACCCCTCTGGAAATATTAACTCCTCTCCCTTCCCCCCCCCCTCATTAAATCAGTATCTTCTCTGAAAGCATTGAAATAAGAGCAAAAGAATAAAATAGTTGTACATTATGTTGTTCTCTGGCCCTGTGACATTTTTTTAAGGCTTCATTCAAATAGTCCACAATCTGATCTTAATTATTTTCAATTTAGTACTGAACTGTTTTAGGCCCTATTTGAAAAATAGTTCAAAATCAGCATGTTTTGCTGGTCTGGGAACTTCTTAATCCTACTCACATTTATTTCATTGTTTCATTTTTATTATCCTAATCTGACCTGAGAAATTCATCTCAATTTATTGCTAATGACACTAATGACAGTTATTGCTGTTGTGAATTCAGTATAATAATTACAGAACAGGTGAGTAATATTGTGACATTCCATTGTCTTGTCCAATTCAAATATTTGTAATGCTAAAGCACAGCAGATCATGAATGCTCGTGAAATATGTGCAAATTCAAGAGAGGAATAGTTTTCATTGTTTTTTATTCTTAACCTTGAGTGGTCATAAAAAAGGAATTTACAGATTGCAGACAGCAAGAATTCTTCTATCTCAAATTGTCAATAAAAATATGGTATATTTTTATGATATGGTCTTATCTGAATGAGTTTCCATAACAATATGATGTATAAAAAGATTTTGATTAATTAGAATTGTCAATAAAACAATTGAGATTATTAATAAACGTTTTTATGTGAAACCAAATGTGCTCCCTGATATTGCCATAAACAAACCAACCAAGTCGTCTCAAACCCCCTGATCGTCAAAGTCTCACCCTGAACACACAGTATGGTATGGTATAGTTGCCATCAATCATTAATATTCTGTGATTTATCAGTTTTGTCCGTTTTTTTGTCATAGAAACTCATGTTCTCAAACGAATAATATACAATAACTAGCTGCCTCGGCAAACGTTGGTTTGCTAATTTGCTATATTGAACATTATTTATAGAAAATATTTTTTCAGATAAATATTTGTCAACACACTTTTATTATTATTTTTTCTACTTCTTCCTAGTTCGACTTTTTTTTATATAGCTATCTATTTCTTCATTAGTTTTTCAAAATACTATTCATTACAAAGCTCGTTCGCCATATTGGATCCGTCATCTTGTATTTCTAAATTTTGACGAAGGAATCATAATCTCCGACCCTGAAAACCCTCAGATACCAATTTTGATGTAAGAATCATAATCTCCTACCCTCACAATCCCCTAATACCAATGTTCAATAGAATCGGATCATAATTACCAAACTCGTCCGCCATATTGGATCCGTCATCCCGAATTTCCAAATTTTGACAAAGGAATCATAATTTCCGGACCCGAAAACCCCCATATACCAATTTTGGATAGAACGGTCCATAATTACAAAACTCGTTCGCCAAATCGAATCCGCCATCTTGAATTTCCCAATTTCATAATCTCCGACCCCAAATATACCCACATACCAATTTTGAATGGAATCGAATCATAATTACAAAACTCATCCGCCATATTGGACCTCCATCTTGAATTTCCAAAATTTTACAAAATAATCATAATCTCCCACCCCGAAAACCCCCAGATACCAATTTTGAATAGAATCGGATCATAATTACCGCCATCTTGAATTTTCAATTCAAAAAACACCATGACATGAGAATGTTATTCAGGGTGAATCTGAAAGTTAGGTTTTTTTCATTTATGGTATATATCTCGCCAGAATAAGTTGTTTGGCCTAATGCTTCTTTGCCCTACTAATGTTTTTTTGGTTCACTTTTAAAACCCATTAGTGCATGAAGTTACTTTTTCTCAAATCTCTATTTTCTGAAGATGTTTACTCATTCAAATATACCCAAGGAATGATAACTCATGACGAATAATTTTTTTTACAACAGATTTTTTTTATATGACACGTCCATTTTAATGGACTCTATGCAAATTGGTTCATTGATGAAAGTGATCAGTAGGGAATTTCAGTATTGATTTTTATTCAAGTACATATCCAGATCATGAAAAACTCAATAACTTCAATCACAATATTATCAATAATGATAATAATGATAATAATAATGAAAATTATACATCATGATGACTTGATACATTTTGAAGCATCTCTCAGATGCAGTCCTATTTTACATATAAAATTGCAATTTTGTATACTCTACTGAATGGAATTCAGCTGATGGGTATATGGAAATACATCATATCAAGAAATTATTTGGGATGATACTTCCAAACCTTTTTTCGGTGCTCCTCACACGATCCAGTGGAAGGAAATGTGAACCCGTTGAAGAAAAAGAGGAGTCGAACGAGTGGATGAAGTCGTGAATATAGTTGACGTGCTGCAGTATAACGTACAATCATTTGATGCTATAATATTCCTTTTCATAATGCAAAGATGTATACTATTTTCAATTTCATCAAAATCAGGATCAGAATAACGAAAGTCGCACGGCTATTTGATAATTCCTTTAGAAATATGATTTATTATGGATTCGCAGTTTCTAAATTCGAATAACTGCATATCTGCCAACTTTTCTTCTGGAGGCAATATAATATATGATTATCTGTTGGTTGATCGATATCTGAGCCATTTTCCATATGTCTAAGAGGTGTTGCAAGAATGATCTACAAAAAAATCTTGATGACCGATATGCATAGAGTCCATTATAATGGACAGAACACAAAAGCAATATTTTGAGTGTCTTACAAAAAAAATAATTATTCGAATTACCTTATAGGTTCATAAACACATGCATATAATGAGATCTTGAGGGATAGGAAATTCTGAAATTCATTATACTCCGTTATAATAAATACTTACTCTCCTTGTCGGGTGCAATACAAATTGTTATCCATTTGATCACGTGCAGAATATTGTCGAGATACAAATTCATGAAATAGAAGCGATAGCTGTTTGTTGTTGAACTACACTTATAGTTCTGGCGCATGAAACATTCAATTCCTGCATGATTGACGTCACAAAAAATTAGACAAGGAGCGTCCATTATAAGACACATTATGCACTAATGGGTTAAACGAGAATGAATAGGTTGAAAATGTAAGAAGAGGTATTTCATTTTCAAATTTTGAGGAAAGAATCATAATCTTCGACCTCAAAAATCCCCAGATCCCAATTTTGAATAGAATCGGAACATGATTACAAAACTCGTCCGCCATATTGGATCCGCCATCTTGAATCATCCAATTAAAAAAAATCATAATCTCCAACCCCAAAAACCCCCAGATACCAATTTTGAGTAGAATCGGATTATAATTACAAGACCCGCCCGCCATATTGGATCCGCCATCTTGAATTTCCTATTTTTTTGTCTCATAAGAACCTTCTAACAATAAGAAACACAACATAAAATAATTAGGGAAATCGGTCAAGCCGTTTACGATTGATTCCATAAAGGACATCATACATACAAAACATTCTTTTTCAATGGCATTATACCTAATACGATTGACTGATGTTCTCGTATGCTATAAGTTGTTGATTTATTCTGGAAATATATCCCAATAAGATCTTGATGACACTAAGATCCTTAAGTAGATTTAGCAATATCACAATATAAATTATTTGACTTCTTTTGGGACTCTCGAAGCTGCTTTGATATCTGAATAGACGTATATAAAGTTCAATATTCTACTCGCGCATAATGTCTATATTGCCTACTCAGCTGATGACAGCATTTTGCAGTATTGGCTGTCATTGTGTGCTTGCTGAATAATATACTATTGCTCGATTTGTAACCTGTTTGGTGTGTTTGGAACTGCATCAAGTTTGATGAAAATTTTTAGAATCCAATGCTTTTCAATGAGAAAGCATCTATTCCTTTTTTTATGCCACATCATTGCATTCAAAATCATACATAAACCTAACTATTAATTGAAACATTCGACTAGACCTTGCACCTTAAAAAAATGTCTACACTACGCGTCTGTGTAAAAATTACTTCATATTATGATGGAAAAATAATTCATAATACGTAAATTGGATTATTGCTGTGTGTATACCGAACCTTGACAAACATGATAAGAATCACCATCGGAATGAGCCTGAATGCACACATTATTTAATATTGATAGATCTACTGCTTTGGAAAATTATTGATTACTCATTTGTTGTTTTTGTAGGTGAGTTTGTCTCTAGGCGACCGATTTATACAGAGGATCAAAATAATAGAAAAAATAATGTTCAAACATCTGAGTTGGTTGAGAAAAATAAGCGTCATATCACATAGGTATTTTGGTAAACAGCAATAAAAGTATACTCAATTTGAGAACATTCATCGATATTTCAATTGGGGGAATGATTGATCATACTTGTATATAATATTGTATATTGCTTTGGTTCTTGTAGGCAGGTTGGATCTATAATTTGTACCAGATGAATGGTTAGTGATTGAATCTACTGAATTTATGGATTTCATTAATTGTCAACTTGTCGGTTGTGCATTCTCATGATCTCTGCTGTGAGTTTGGAGTTTTTTTATATACAGGGTGTCCGGAAAGGTCATGTCGGAAATGATAGAGCTGATTGTTAGTACTCCTAACTCGATGACGCGATAAGAATTATGCTATCTGATACCATACTTCCGTCACGTGATAACGAGTAGAAACAAGAAGCAAATGAAAGGGGAAGATATCGCCTTTGCAAATACCCAAACGTGCCGCGATTCAAACTGATCGAAGTTAGTGGCAGAGCGTCAATACTTCCTAGAATATTTAGCCCCCCCCCTCTAAAGATAATATTCGATGGACCATTGTGAAAATCTACATGTGGATTAGTAGAATACTTGTAGTGTGAGCACCACATTTTACACTGGTCCATCGGATATTATCTTTCGACGAGAGCGGAATAATCACGGAAATATTGACGCTCTGCCACTAACTTAGATCAGTTTGAATCGAATTTTTTGACGTTGACGGTCGTCTCGACTATTTTCTTACCTCGGCTACGCCTTAAAAAAAATCAGATCTCGATCACCAAAGTAGCATTTCGCGCTCTAGATACAGATATAACTATTCCATCCAAACTTTCAAGGTCAAGATATACATTTTTTCAAATATGAAGTACTCACATCCTTTTGGCTCACTCAATCAGCGCTATCATTCACGACATGGCCTTTCCGAACACCCTGTATAAGTGCATTTATCTTGTGGGACTGAAATAACTATGATTATTATTTTACATATATGTATATAATTGGTTTATTCATTATAACAGCTTTATTGGATTTGATGTAATACACATGCTCACTCTGAATGCTAACGATCTCCTTTGGATTGATTTTTCAAGAATCGACCCTTTTTGTGATTCAATAAAGACTTGAGCGTAGGCTATTCAAAGTGAGACATGCTGTATATAATTTCAAAAATATCAAAGACAGTTACAGTCAAAATAGGATAGGTTTATTTTAATCAAATATAGTTACTAATTATCACATTATAGTTATTAACGTAACAAGGCTGATATGCAGCAAATGAGGATGAGGTCGAATATTGTATTCCGAGGCGCAGCCGAGGATTATAAAAACCGAATCCGTTATTTGCGTATCGGCCGTGTATCGGTCAAGATTTTTCGTAATCCCACTGAAAGATATTCATTCTGATTCTGAGGAAAGAACTAACCACGTACAGGGTGCGCCTCTTGAAATGGAACCCCCCCTTAACTCTTTTGTTTTCGGAGATATGAAAAAATGTTGAATGAACAAGTTATTTGAAACGATCCAAACTTACATTTCGTGAAATTGTTCAATATACAGGGTCATAAGTTTTTCCGCAAAGGACATGCACTTCTGATTTATTCAAAAGAACACCCTATATATTTTTCGGTATGTCGCTAGAGCCTTTTTTTTCTGATCAAAAAAATATATATGAGTTATTGATGATCGAAGTTTATCAAAATACCGCTTTATGAACCTTCACTCCATTTCATCTAATAATGTGAGTTTAACATAGTGGGCTTAAAATTAATGTTTATATATTTTTCAGGCTCCTTGGAAATATCATGATATTATTTATTATGAAATTGAAATCATTCAATCTTAATTCAGAAAAATATGAATGGAAGATGCGGTATTTTGGTAAACTTTGATCAGCAATAACTCAATTATTTTTCATTCAAATATACAATTCATATATATTTTTGAAATCAGCAAAAAGCTCTATCGACATGTCAGAAAATATATAGGGTGTTTCATTGAAAAAATCAAAGTTAATGTCCTTTCCGCAAAAACGAATGACCCTGTATTCAAAGCAACTTCTTGAAATAAGAGTTTGGGTCGCTTCAAACAACTTTTTCATTCAACATTTTCTCACATCTCTGAAAACAAAAGAGTTAAGGGGGGTTCCATTTTAAGAGACGCACCCTGTACCTCGTAATTCTACAGGAGAATCCAAACATCGTGTTGGAACAGTTAAACGGTCATCGGGCGTTAAACAATCTTAACTGATGGAGGCTGTTAACATTAACTTTTCATTTGCCATCTTAATACCGTTAAATCAAAATAACAGTATGGGATTACGAAAAACATTGAGGAAAAAAAGGCATAAAAAGTAAACAGAATTCAAAACCAAACTGTTTAGTGAAAAACTACTAAGTGCCATGGGTTTTTTGTTTTTTCAATCGATAGAAATTCAAACTTATTTAGACATTATATGATTTCCATACATGTTATTTTTTCTAGCCCTCTCCCATCAAGTTCTCATTAAAATTGTATTGAGACGCCATTGGTGAATTACAACTATTAAAAGGTCACTCTAATTATTTTTTTCTGACTGTAAATTCGCCAAAGTCTTTAGATGACGTTTCAATGACATTCAAACTTGAATTGAGCTCTTTTCTATCTTAAACAAGAGAGAGGAAAGTTTTCTCCTCTTCCATCTTTCTCTTCTTCCATCTTTCTCTTCAATGCTACCAACCGCATATTGAAATGTAGAGAGGTCCGATAAATCTTTCCTTGTCTAACCTCCTGTCTGCGCTACTGAGCTATTTTCGATGTTATTCGCAATAGAAACATTGAACTCAATGTAAACACCTATATTGAGTTCTTCTCTTCTTCTTCTGTTGTCTTTATTGGTTTTCTGACTCCCTATATTGAGTTCATTGGATAGAAAATAACACATCACTCCACCTGACGGTAACAACTTGAACTCTGAGCGGTTTGACTTGATGATGTGACCAATGAGCACAAACAAAAAAGAAATGTGAACCAATGAAAACAAAGTGAACATGCCGCTTTGACAGCTTTCAAGAACTCCGATAGGTGGCGTACGCTCATTCTCTATCGCGAATAATAACATTCTTTCCTTCAAGAACTGACATATTTCACTTGGACTGAACTGAATCAGTTAACATGCATTCTAACTAATCAAATTCTAGAAAAGAGCTCAATTCATTCAGAATGGCCTTAGTGACCGCGAATAGATTGAAAAAACAAAAAATCCCTGACAATTCTACGCTTACGTTGTAAACACGTAGTTTGGAAATAGTTATTTATGTACCAAGGACGAAACACTGTCTAATATAGTCGGGTCTGCAAATTGATAGCCGAGGCTAGCAATCAGGTGAGACAATAGACAGTTTTTCGCCGAGGTGCATATTACATTTTTTCGTCGACCTCAAACACTTATATCTAACACCTCGGTCCTTCTCATACGTGAAATCTATCGGATTTCGTGAATAATCAATTTGACAACAGCAAATGACAGTTGTTGTCAACTCACTCTCCGCGCGGACCAGGGTTGCCAGTTCGATTTTTATTCCATCAGTAAATACTTTGTCAAAAATTCAGTAGATTTCAATAGATCTGTTTAAGATCTATTTTATGCAATACGAATTCCAAAGGATAATGAAATGAACCTATGACGTCAAAACATCATGGACTTTTAGTAAACAGAAAAGTAACCTTTATTTCCAACAAACTAGAAACAAACAAAAATAATCATATTCCTAATTCTCAATTCAAAAATACTCACAAATATCACAAAATGCAGTTACATGGGTACTTTTAAGATTTGATTACATAAAAAAGGAACGAATAGTAAAAATGAACAACAAAAATATAAAACAAATAAAAAAATTGAACTTAAGAAGGTAAGGTAGGATACAGAAATCGCGACACACACTGTATGGCGCTGCCATCTATAGTCACACGTACAGACCCCTACGACTATACGCTACACTACAAGTAAACCACTCTGCTGACAGATGGCACTACCTGACATACTTGAGTGGAATTTTTCCATCACCTATTCAACTGCTAGATCTCATAACTAAGAGATCCAGGATGCGGCTGATGAGACCTGGTGGGTCGAAACAGTACTGTCTCGCTCCTGCTGACAATTGGGGCAACTCTGTTCATCCTGGATCTCTTAGTTATGAGATCTAGCAGTTGAATAGGTGGTGGAAAAATTCCACTCAAGTATGTCAGGTAGTGCCATCTGTCAGCAGAGTGGTTTACTTGTAGTACCACTCTGTAGCGTATAGACGTAGGGGTCTGTACGTGTGACTATAGATGGTAGCGCCATACAGTGTGTGTCGCGATTTCTGTATCCTACCTTAGAGCTTTGCCACTAGATGGCTACAACATGACTATAACTTCATGTTATACACTGTGTCTTCGAAATGGATGATATACCCGAAGCGTAGAGTTGTCCCAGTTGTCAGCAGACCGAGAGCGGCTGATGAGACCTGGTGGGTCGAAACAGTACTGTCTCGCTCCTTTTGACAATTGGGGCAACTCTGTTCATCCTGGATCTCTTAGTTATGAGATCTAGCAGTCAAACTGTTATAACAGAGGTATACAATAGTGTATTACGTAATATATGAAGCATATTACGCACGAATGGAACCATTACAGCACATTACGCACTAAACTCTACCTACTGGCATATAGTACATCAACAAAGTTTGAACAAACAGTATGAATTATAATTCTTGACAGTTATGTCATTCGCTGTTGACGGCGATTACGCGATCATGACATACCTATACTGGCGGAATGAACGAAAACTGTGCGATGTGCTTTCTGTACGTAAAGAGCTTCTTACTGAGGCTGTATATCGTGTGTTCTTGCCTACTTTCAATAGTGGCCGTAGGTAAAAGATTGAATTTGATCTGAATTAGATGAAATATTGTCCTTTTTTGGTTTATACACAATCATTAGTACCTATTTCTACCGAAATATCATGCAATTTATAAGCGTATGTGATTAACTAAAGATTAATAATATATATAGGTAATTATAATAATAAATCAGTGTCAAAATATTTTTCACTAGATTATGATATGTTTCAATGGGTTAGTAGATCAATATGCAAATCAGGAGATCTACTGAAAATTTAGTAGAACTGGCAACCGTGCAGCG